GCAAACGGTCAATAGCAGGACACGTCAAACCCATCAGCCACATTACCCTAAATTGCAAAGATAATGTTTTCGTCACTTTATCTAAGGACAATAATGTTCGTGTGTGGTGCGAAAATGTACTGCCTTTGCAAAGCTTCCAGGTTCAAGGCATGGAAAATGGCTCCATCACCAGTATGTGTTATAACACATACAACAATGAGTTAGTCCTGGCTAACACCAAAATAGGATCCTATCTTGGAAGAGGAACAGATGTTTTTCAAAATGCAATAACATCCCATGACAAGCCCCTGTGCTGTGCTCTCTATAACATACTTTACAAACAGGTCGTCTCTGTTTGCCAAGATGGTGTGGTGACCGTGTGGGAAGTCTCAACAGGACAGGTCGCCTCAAAGTTCAAGGTAACTCCAGATAAGCATGTGGGGCACACTACCATTGCATTTGATGAAACGCAGCGCAAACTAATCACAGTTTCTCAGGATAGGAAATTGAAATTCTGGAACTTTAACAGCGGATCATTACTTTCCGTTCTTCCCGTTACCTTGCCAAAGAAGGTGACAGGTATTGTCTGCTCGAAAAATAGGGTGTATGTGTCGGGAAGGAACATCATTTATGACCTGGATATAGAGGGCTTCGACTACAGCTGTTTTAGCCACCATTATTTAAAGGACATTTCCTCAATGGGTGTTCATGAAGGAACACTGATTACTGCCTCCAGCAATGGAAATATTGTTATCTGGGATACTGACCAAGGCAAGGCTCTCTGCTGGATGAATGACAGTAAGAGCCCTCGAACATTCAGGGTAGACAGAAGACTGACAGGGAGTCGACCTGATGAAAATAATCCCGAAAAATCTCAGACTGAAAACAAGAAAGACAATCTTGTTGTGTGTCTGAAGAAAAGGAAGGTCAAAAATGACACAGCCACACTGCTGACTTCTTCAGATGGCTACATATGTGCCTGGTCTGTGAGCATCAATGGAGGTTTGATAGGAAAGTTCAGGGCAGTAGATAAGGAAGGTGCCGTCATTAACACCATGTCGACTGACCTCGAAGAACAGATATTAATGACTTGGGATAGTACTGGCAAGTTTTGTCAGTGGGACATTGCAAGTTTTGGGTTCAGAAAACAGGCAAAGGAAGAGCCATTTGAGGATAGAAATGGGTGGCACGTGTCATTGGCTCAACCTCCTCTATTGGGCTCCTGGCAATGTCACCTTACAGAGGTGGTGAGTGTTCAGTGTGACCATAGTTGTACGAAGGTCATTACTGCGGGCTTGGACCGCTACCTCCACCTTTGGCACAACACAGGCTCCCACATAGGCGTCTTTGGGAAAGACAAATGGATTGATTCAGATCTCAGCTTTGAGAAGAATGCTGACCAGGAGGAGGCAGCAGGATCAGCCACAACATTGACGAAAAACGATGAAAAGCCAATCGTCCAAAAG